CCCCCCCCCCACCTCCCGCGCCGGGCCCTCTCACGGCTTGCGGCCTCTCTCCCTCCCTCTCCCCTCCTTTGCTCCCTCCCTCCGAGCCCAATTGCTCAAGCCGCTTCCTTCCCCAACGCCAGCGCCAGTTCCTCTCCCGGAGGGGCCCGGGAAGGGCAGCGAACGCTCGACACTGGAAGCGCCGCGGCGGCAGCGGCCAGACCATGGCCGAGCCCCGAGGGGCCGCGAACCCGGGGCGCAAGGCCTCCCTCGCCGCCACCGCGCTGAGCTCGCGGAGCGCCGCGCCACCCCGCCCCCCGAGAGCGGACCCCAGCAGCCTGGGCAGGTACCGGGACCACGCCGCCGCGGCCGCCGCCTCCCGGGACTTGCACGGCTCGCCGATGCTCTCGGGAACGGGCAGCGGCCGCCGGCGCGGAGCGCTGTGGGAGCTGCTGGGGCTGCAGGGGGCGGCCCCCGCCGGCTGGCTGTCGGAGGAGCGCGCCGAGGAGCAGTCCCCGGCCGGGCCGAACGGTCCGGGGGGCGGCGGCGGCGGCGGGCTGTGCCTGGAGCCCCACGAGCACGCGTGGATACTGGCGGCCGCCGAGGGCCGCCTTGAGGTGCTGTGGGAGCAGCTGGAAGCCGAGCCCGGGCTGCTGCTGCGGTGCGACCCGATCACGGGCTACACGGTGCTGCACTGGCTGGCCAAGCACGGGTGCCACGAGGAGCTCATCCTGGTGTACGACTTCGCCCAGCGCCGGGGGCTGCAGCTCGACGTGAGCGCCTCGGGCAGCGGCGGCCTCACGCCCCTCCACCTGGCGGCCCTGCAGGGCCACGACATGGTCATCAAGGTGCTGGTGGGCGCCTTGGGGGCTGACCCCACGCGCCGCGACTACAGCGGCCACCGGGCCTGTCACTACCTGCGACCCGACGCGCCGCGGAGCCTGCGGGAGCTGTCGGGGGCCGAGGACTGGGAGACGGCGGGCGGCAGAGGGCGGAACAACGCCAACAACAACAGCAGCGGCTGCGCCGCCGCGTGGACGCTGCGACGGACCCCGAGCGCGGTGGGCGCGACCGCCGTGGAGAAGAACTACACGCCCCGAAAGGAGAAGGACTACGCGGGCAGCCGGGTGGCACAAATTCAGAGCCTTTTCCGCCAAATATTCCCCTTCTTCCAGGACCGGTGAGGGCGACGGAGACCGGAGAGCGCGGAGGGACCGCGACGCCGCGTCGAGGCCTCGGTCTCCGGTTGTCTCCGGCCCCGCCCGAAGGGGCGGCAGCTCGGGCCGAAGCCGAGCGCGCTGGGCCTGCAAGCGGCGGACCACCTCCAGCTTTGTCTCAGGTACCTGTCCCAGGTCTTCTACGGCCGCCGGCCAGGAGACCTGGGGACCAGGGTACCCTCACCGAGACAGCAAAGACCAAGCCGCCCTGACGCCGAGTCCCAAGACTACAGGACTACGGAGTTAGGAGCCGGAGTGCCGTCCTACGTGGGAGAGGAAAACTTAACGCTTCCAAGAGCCATTTCTGGGCAGGCAGAAGCTCTGGGTTTATTAGGAAGCACTCGCTTAGAAGAACGAGTTAAGACTATAAACCACGGATAACAGAGGAAACACCTAACTGAAGGCTTGACTCGGCTGTTCCTGCGGGCAGAGTCACCCTTCCCCCCAACCTGCTCCTGACACCTCCAGGCTTTTACGGGTACTTTTTCTAATGTATCACGGATGACTTCTTGAGCATATTAAAGCGGAGTATGTTTTCCTTTCACATGACAAAGCTGTCCTTTGAGTGACTTTT